TATATATATATATAATATATGAAATATATGAAATATAAAATATATAATATATGAAATATATAATATATAATGTATGTATGTATGTTTTCTTATCTTTTTGCAGGTATTCATATGTATGGTATTTAGGTTTCTTCGGGTATTTTCCCCACGTCTTAATCGTTGTGCTTTTAAAGTTATAGCAGAATCTCATCTGTCATCCTCAGGCTTGTGTGTTGGGTTTTTTCCTAATCGTGTGTCAGGCTTTAGCAGCCGTTTCTGTTTGAATTTGGTGCTGGCTTCCTGCCTTATTTGAATGGTTTTTTCTTCATCCTGATTGGCTGGGAGTCTAGGTGTGTGTTTATTGGTCTTCCAGTTGCTGTGTTCTTGATTGGTTGGCAACATTGTGTTTTGTGTATTGGTTTTTTTTTTTAGTGCAGCTTGGTTTTTTGTGAATGGCCGACAATTGTGGCTTTCATATATTGGACTAGTGAGGAAGTGTGTTCCAGGTTTTTTTACTGTACAGCTCACCAAATGCCTGCTTCTTTTCTCCCGGTAGCTGCCACTTCTTCCCACGTCTTGCGCTATTTCTTCACCGGTGTGTCAGAACTGGGCCACGGCCTGCCCCGGTTTGTCATTGTGGGCTACTTGGATGATCAGCAGTTTGTCCACTACGACAGTGATTCCCGGAGGGACTTGCCACGGGGTCCCTGGATTCGGAAGGTGGAGGAAGACGATGCCCAGTATTGGGACTGGCAAAGTCAGCTTTCCCACAGCTGGGAACTCTACTTCCAACTGAGCCTCTGGAACCGCTTCAACCACACCCCGGGTAAGTGCCAGGGAGACGGGAGCTTGGCTACAGGCTGTCTTGCGGTTGGCAAACCTTTTCGGCACCGAGTGCTGAAACGGAAGTCCGCGTGCACGGGGAAGCACCAGAAACCAGAATAGCAGTTCCTGTTTCCAGTGTGCACACTTGGTCTTCTGGTTTCTGGCACGCATGCACGCGCAAAGACCAGGTGACCGATGCACATGCGCATGCCGGAAATGGGAAGTTCAGCTTCCTGGTGCATGCATGCACATTGGGGACTGCTCTTCTGGTTTCTGGTGCTCCTGCTCACACAAAGACCAGCTGGCTGGCATGTGCGTGCTGGAATCCAGAAGAGCAACAGGGGACGGCTGGCGTGCCCAGAAAGATGGCTCTGAGTGTCACTTCCAGCATGCGTGCCGTAGGTTCACCATCACAGGCTTAGATAATCACTGAGATCCCTTATAGCTCTTGTTCTATCGCCAAGACAAAGCAGACTCGGATACCGGAGTTGAAATCAGCTCTTTATTAGCAACCAGTAACTTCAACTAAAGTCGAGCCGCGGCAGCCCTTTTTATAGCGGCTGCTCGCGGCTCACAACCAATGGCATCTGTTTAAACTTCCCGCCGCTTATACGGCCAATCGGAAACTTGTTGTTCTTAACCAATCGTTACGTTGTATTAACTAACCAATAGGAATGTAGTATTAGAAGTCTGTATTTGAATACACTACAGCTCTTCCACTACATAGTGTAGGGCTGGTGTCAAAGAATTCTCGTGTAGGGCTGGTGTCAAAGAATTTTTGAGCTGATCTTGCGGCAGGAAGTAGTGAGATGTTCAAACTTGGGCAAGAGATTTTGTGGTCTGTAGATTGAAATACACGTGAGAAAGAAAAATAATCTCTCTTGATTTTGTTTAGTATAAAGTGTAACAATGACACTTGGACAAGGCTCTATTAGAATAATTAATAGAATAATTAATATTAGATTATTCTACTAGAATAATTCCTGCAATCCTTGCAGTTGTTTTAATTGACCACCTACCGTGAAGGGCTGGTCTAGTTGGGGTTTGAATACAAGAGTTCATTTAGTGACCATTCAAAGTTACGACATCACTGAAAAAAGTGACATGGCAAATTTTCACATTTACGATGATCTCTTTTCCCGACAGTCACACAATCAAAATTCGGACGCTTGGCAACTGACTCATATTTATAATGGTTGCAGTGCCCTGGGGTCATGTGATCCCCTTTTGTGACCTTCTGACAAGCAGTCAATGGGGAAACCAGATTCATTTTACAACCATGTTACCAATTTAGAAACTGCAGTGATTCACTTAACAACCCAAGCAAGAAAGATCTCAAAATGGAGCAAGCAAAATTCACTTAACCTGTCATGCCCCTGTTGTAATCTGACTCGGAGGAGGAAGCCGAACAGCTGACAGGGAGTGGGTGTGTGGCTCTGTTGGCTGTGGAAGAAACTGGGGAAGGGCAGAGTCCGGCTGGGCAGAGCAGGGGAGAGGTAGAGTAAGGGAGAGGGAATTCAGAGGAAGACCCAGACCCACCCCCTCTTCATTCTAGAGGGCATGCAGGGAAGAACGGAGAAGAGAGCAAGGTGGGTTGCATGTTTTATGGGGGAGGAGAGGGCGCTGATTCCCTTCATTAGCTGCAGCTGGGAACACAGTGTATAAAAAAGGGAAGTTGCGTGCAGCAAGTTGTTGGGAGCAAATGTGAGTTTATTTTGTATCGTCGTGGCTTATCTGTTTTCCTGGCGTCTTTCCAACTATGTGAGTTTTGACGTGCTTTTTCAAGTCTGAAATTCCTTCTCCTGCCCTGGCAAACTAATTTATTTATTTATTTATTTATTTATTTGATTTGCCAATTGTTTACAAGATAATAAGTATAAATGTATACATAGTTGTGAATACATGAAATGGGTACATATAAGAAAAATAAAAGAATAAGAGAAACAATAGGACAGGGACGGTAGGCACGTTGGTGCACTTATGCACGCCCCCTACAGGCCTCTTAGGAAAGGGGTGAGGTCAATAGTAGACAGTCTAAGGTTAAAGTTTTTGGGGTTTGGGGAAGAAACTACAGAGTCGGGTAGAGTATTCCAGACATTGACCACTCTATTGCTGAAGTCGTATTTCCTGCAATCAAGTTTGGTGCGGTTTACTTTGAGTTTGTATCTATTGTGTGCTCTTGTGTTGTTATGGTTGAAGCTGAAGTATTCATTGACAGGTAGGACATTGCAATGTATGATTTTATATACCATGCTTAAGTCAGACCGAAGACGGCGTAATTCAAGGTTTTCTAGTTCTAGAATTTCAAGTCTGGTGGCATAAGGTATTCTACAACGAGTAGAGGAGTGGAGAACTCTTCTTGTGAAATATTTCTGGACTTTCTCAATTGTGCTAATATCAGATACATAATGTGGGTTCCAGACTGATGAACTGTATTCGAGTATTGGTCTAGCAAATGTTTTGTATGCTCTGGTTAGTAGTGTGATATTACCAGAGAAAAAGCTACGTAGGATTAGGTTAACAACTCTTAATGCCTTTTTGGCTATGTAGTTGCAGTGGGCTCTAGCACTTAGATCATTAGAGGTGAGTATTCCAAGGTCCTTTACAGAGCATGGGTCATCAACAAGATCTTGACTATTCAGCTTGTATTTTATTTTCTGATTTTTTTTGCCAATATGTAAGACAGAGCATTTATTTGTTGAGATTTGAAGTTGCCATTTGTTTGACCATTCTGATACATAGTCAAGATCTTTTTGTAGGGTAGCAGTATTGTCTGTGGTATTTACATCATCAGCGAAGAGAACGCAATTGCTCTTAATATGATCACAGAGGTCGTTTATGTAGAGTATGAAGAGAGTTGGTCCTAGAACACTGCCTTGGGGAACACCACTATTGACAGGTACTGGATTTGATAGGACGCTCCCGATTTTGACCATTTGTTGTCTGTTTGACAGGAATGCTTCTATCCAGTTATTCAGTTGTCCAGAGATACCATAGGATTTTATTTTTAGGAGTAGTTTGTCGTGTACCACTGAATCAAAGGCTTTACAGAAGTCTATGTAGATTGCGTCTATTGCTTTGCCCTGGTCGAGTTGTGTCGTCCATATGTTTTTGCAGTGTAAGAGTTGCAGATTACAGGATAGTTTTTTTCTGAAACCAAATTGTTTATTGGAGAGTAGGTTGTTTGTCTCTAAGTGGAGGATGATGGATTGGTTAATAATTGATTCCATGACTTTACAGGTGACGCAGCATAAGGAGATTGGCCTGTAATTTTCAACTAGGCTTGGGTCTCCCTTTTTGAAGATGGGGATGACTGTGGCTTGTGACCATAGGTTAGGCAAGGAGCTGGTTCTGAAAGATTTTTCAAAGATTATGCTTAGAGGTTTGGCTATGACAGTGGATAGTTTAGTTTGGTTTGTTTGGATTTTAAGTTACAGTTTGTGTGTACCTTGTTTTGGACTGACTTTTCTACAATTAAAGACTGTTCCTGGGAGAGTTTTTCTCTAGCCGAAGGTAACCTAGACATTGGGGGCAAAGTTGGAGATGATAAAGGGACTCTTATTGCTTATTTGACTGTGTTGCCTTTCTGCCACGCCCTGGGTCATCACATAACCACTGTTTTGTCTAGCAACAAAAATGTTGGGCTCAGTTGGGATTATAAATTGAGGATTACCTGTAGATGAGCTCTATGGTATATCCCAAGCCTTTCATTATATCTGTGATACTGAGCAACCAATGCAAACTTCACCGAGGTGTGTTTTGCAGGGTTTCACACCTGGCAATGGATGCACGGTTGTGAGTTACGACAAGACGGACGTAAAGAAGGCAATTCTCAGTTTGGCTATGATGGGAAGGATTTCCTCAGCCTGGATAAAGAGACTCTCACCTGGACAGCAGCTGACTGGCGGGCCCAGGTCACCAAGCAGAGGTGGGAGGCCGATCTGGTCTGGACTCAAGGCCGGAAGAATTTCCTGGAAGGAGACTGCATTGAGTGGCTGCAGAAATACCTGAATTACGGCAAGGAGTCCCTTCTCAGAAAAGGTGATGGGTTGTGGGTTGTGTTGGTTTATCTTATGTAACAGATCCCCTGGAGTACTAATACCACTTTATAATGCCTTGGTAAAGGCCACACTTGGAATTCTGGATCCAGTTTTGGTCGCCACGATGTAAAAAAGATGCTGAGACTCTAGAAAGAGTGCAGAGAAGAGCAACAAAGAGGATTAGGGAACTGGAGGCTAAAACATATAAAGGATGGTTGCTGGATATGTCTAGTTTGATGAAAAGAAGGAGTAAGAGAGACATGATAGCAGTGTTTTGATACCTCAGAGGCTGCCCCAAAGAAGAGGGAGTCAAGCTATTCTCCAAAGCACCTGAAGGCAAGACAAGAAGCCATGGGCGGAAACTAATCAAGGAGAGAAGCAACCTAGAACTAAGGAGAAATTTCTGGACAGTTAGAACAATTAATCACTGGAACAATTTGCCTCCAGAAGTTGTGGATGTCCAACATTAGAAGTTTTAAAGAAGAGATTGGATAACTATTTGTCTGAAGTGGTGTAGGGTTTCCTGTCTGAACAGGGGTTGGACTAGAAGACCTCCAAGGTCCCTTCCAATTCTGTTATTCTATTCTATTCTATTCTATTCTATTCTACTCTACTCTACTCTACTCTACTCTACTCTACTCTACTCTACTCTATTCCTATTCTATTCTATTCTATTCTATTCTATTCTATTCTATTCTATTCTAT